GGGTGTGGGTGGGGCCGATGCGGAGGCCGCGTGCCAGGAGTGTAATTGGTTGCAGGACGAGGTGACTGAGCTTTGGGTGGCAGCGTGGTGCGCGCTGCCACCGGCTCAGTGGGGGGCCCCCTGGACAGAGCAGGACGCTCCGCGGCCGAGTTGAGAGCGGGCGTGCCGCGGGGCTTGTGATGCTACGAATGCTGTCTGCCGTTGCCTCTAGCAAGTCCATGGCCAGGGGCTGGCCGTCATGCACCGAACCCAATGAAAGTCACAGATTCCAGCTGAATTCCCTTTATCGCACCTACGGCAGCCCTCTACGACACACCACAGGCCACTCCCTTGTCCCGTCACACCCATACACACCCCTCACATCCCTGCCCCGGGGCCTCTGGAAGACTCACGTCTGGCGGCACACAGGCCCTGAGCTCCGAGAGGTCCTTTGGGTCGATCACTTTGATCTTGTTGCGAGTCACCTGATAACGTCATTGCGCATGGCAGCATGGGCACTGGAGTGAGCCGCATACCGTTATACTGATTTTAGGCTCCGCAACAGCTAATGTTGGTTCATCCCAAACCAATTTGCAAGGCAACTCATGCACATGCATACCTTGGCGTCGCGCGCGGTTGCCAGAGCCCCAGGTTTGGCATCAGCAAATGACGCCCCTTCTCCGCATTGTATGCCACCCCAAGCCACCCCAAGCTTGGGGTGGCAAGCCCGCACCTCAGGCAGCAGCGGCTTGCTGGCGTTCCACAGGGCCCAGAACACAGATGGTGGGTTGTACAGGTACATGGCGCTCAGTCTGGTGACATCATGGTGATGTCAGCAAGTTTGACGGAGGAGGTTATGTGGTTGAAAGGGCCGAAGCAGGTGGCTTGCGGCAAGGGCGGCGGGAGCGCCAGAGCACCTTGATGGCACATCAGCTGATGTCGCTCTGCTAATCTCACACCCGATGACCCCGCAACATTGATACGGGGTAAAGTTCTAGACGTAAACCCTAAAGCCCAAGGCAAAGGCCAGAGCTTCGGCATGCCACATGCCGGCAAGGCTGCCAAAGACAATCGCACCTCTCTACGTAATGCACGCCCAGCATCCCCAGCAGGTTGGTCATGGTGGCAGCGTCGAGGTTGGCGAGGGCGCAGCCTGTCATGTCAAACATTGAGACCAGGCGGCACTGGGGGTTGCGCTTGCGATCGCACAGGTTGACCTGCAGTTGGAGGTTGACAAAGATGTTTTCGTGAGGAAGGGAGGAAGTGAATGTAATTTTGTACGCGAGTGTGCATGTGCGTGGTCGGATAAGTGCGTTAATGTGGACAAAGACAGGGAGCAAGAGAGAGGAAGAGAGGGAGGGAAGAGTCGCCTTGTCGAGGTTGCAGAGGCAGCAACCACTGGACCAACCAGGCTCCCCCATGCCCTACCCAGCTATTGCCCCGTCGCCGTCATCGGCAGCTGTACCTCCCTCACAATCGAGCCCACCCTTCAACGCACGCACGCACGCACGCACGCACGCGCGCGCGCACATACACTCACACACACACACACACACACACACACACACACACACACGCACGCACGCATGCACGCGCGCATGCACGCACGCACACGCAAACACACACACACACGCAAACGCATGTGTGACTCTCACATCAACGGCAAATGCTCGCACCTCATCCTCCGCGAAATGCACAGCCGCACGACCCCACACACGCACCTTGACCCCAACGCCTGTGCAAACACCACCCGCTGATCGGCCCACCACCAACAGGATGTGCAAACCAACCAGCCTCCCCCCCCCTCGTCCCCCCGCACCATGTTATCCAGGATGTATGCGCAGAAAAGCTTGGTCTCCTTGAGGTCGCGCCTGAAGTGCTTCCGCACCTGGATGATGGTCAGCGCGCGGCCCTCATAGTCCACACCCTTTCGGAGGGGACAAGGGAGGGGGCAGCGGTTGGCGCGGGGTATGCTAGTTGTGGATGGGGCTCGATGGCAGAAGAGGACGACGCCTGGCTGACGTAAGTGTGTTGTGCACAAACGGGCATGCGCACCTGTGCCTGTGCACACGCACATGTTGCGCTCTTACGCCACATGTGCTTACAGACTTGTGCAAGTTCATGCTAGTGCCAAACAACAAGAGCACATGCACAAGCGAGAAGTATGCATACGCGCACAAGTGCACGCATAAGCGTGTGCACGTGCACACACACACACACACACACACACACACACACACACACACACACACACACACACACCTTTATCACAAAGACACGCACACCCACTCCTTGCGCACAAAAACTCACATATCACACGTCAATCTATCTACGAATCTACACACACACAACAAGCACAAGCACACCTGCATGAATATCTTGCGGTCATCCAGCTCCCGCCTCACGCGCTCCTGAGGAACGAGGGTGGTTGTGCGGCGAAGCGGGCAAGTCTTAGGCCGTCACGGTGCTCCCAACCCAGGTCAGTGGCCTGCAGCGAGCTGGACAGCACGTTCAGGACGTGGCTGTCAGCACCATCTTTGTGGGGCCTTGCGGGTGGCTGGCGGGCGCGGTTCCGGGACCTGGTTGTCTCGGCGGGGCTGCGGCCTGAGTGCGCCGTCAGCACAGCGTGCGCACCCCAGCTACTGCAGCTGCACGCATGCCATGAGATAGCCCGTCAGCGCCCAATGCACGATTTATGGACACTTGCGATATGAACCTGCTGCGCAAAGTCCTCTGTGCTGCCTCGCAACGGTGCCTGAACGGGGCGCCACCAACGTACAAGCCTGACGCCCGTTTTAGCAGCACCTCAAGAGCGCTCCACCGGAGCGCAGGGTGACAGCGTGAGACGGCTGCACACTCGCCTCAAATTTGATCGCGGCACCACTGCCCCGCCCGCCCCCCTCCAGGGCGGGTTTGTCACTCTGTGAGCATCAGCCCTTGCAGTTGCAACTCCAGGGGCCACCGCACTACTGAGCAAGTGACGTCACGCACCTCCTCTACGTAACCGCTGGGCGTCATGTGCAGCCGCCAGCCGGCGTGGTTTACGAGCAGCTTGAAGGTCACCTGCACGTTCCAGTCACGCGCCACCAACCAGCGCCGCAAATATGCGTCGGAAACCAGCTCCTCTGCCGTGCCGTTGGGACCGAACTCGCCACCTGGTGAGTGGCGTGGTCAAACATGCGCTCATGCCTGTATTTTCCATTGGGCTGGCACCTGGCGTCTTGCATGGGGGAATGCCGCCAGCTCCATGGGGGATGCAGCAGGACCCAGGCTGCATGCAAGGTGAGGCAGGCTGATGAGGGTGTCCCGGGCGGTTCTGCATTGCTGCTGCGGCAGCGCAAACTCGCAGGCGGTGCTGGCGCGAGTTGCTGCGCACCCTTGGCGAGCTGCTGGCCGCAAAGACGTCCCTCTTCTGTCTCCAGGAACAGCTGCCGGAGCTCCTGCACCGCCCTCTCATGCTTCTCATCGAGCTCGTGCTGCTTTGCTTCCGCCTTTGCCCTCTTAGACTCCCCGTCAATGCCAAACCATTCACTCCATGTCTGCTTTTCGGTCATTGTGTCGCTGCCCTGCCAGAGACGTGAACTCACAGACTGTTGGCCGCAGTGTGGCCAAAGACGGGTGACACGCGCTCATACGGCAGGATTTGGAAGCACGGAACTTGAATTTCAAACATGCGTTACCGGTACATGAGACATGAGGGCGTATGCATCCATCTGGGCCGGAGGTTTTCAAGCTCATGTAGCATTGCCGGACGGTTGAAGCCAAGATGCGCCCAGTGACTCCTACTACGATCTTATTACTCTTTTTGATGACTTTGGGGGCCAACCACGGCTGCCGGCAATCGAATTCCAGCGGCGCTTGTCACTGCTGACGCACAAAGGACATCGCAAGAGCGGCAAAACTAGGCATGCTCAGGGGTGACAACCAAGGTTTAGTTCCTAGTGCTGGCAGAGTGTAATGCACGACCCTTAGATTCCAGGGCAATGGCCAAGCCCAGTACAGCACTCAGGGGGTCACACGCCTTGTGACCAAGGGGATCGGGCAGCAGCAGCCGTAGACCCTTGCGACCTCCCCATAACAGAAAGCTCATGCATTGATCTGAGTCGACCGAACGTCAACAATGCCGCACGCCGCACACCATGGCTGTGTTGGAGCGGCCACTGAATGAACCTGCTCAGAGGCAGTTATTGATAACTCGACACCCTGATACTGTGAGAGGTGTCACGATGTGCTCGAGTTAGAACGAAGGAAGAAGTATGATACGTTGTATGGCACACAACAACATGTTGGCTGGATATGCCACTGTCAGGGACTCATCATGGTTGAATGGCACAGTGCTCCTGAATGACCTGAACACTGACTGACCTGGACGCGTTTGGCCAGATATTACGCAGTATGGTGCCAAAGCAACAGCTTGCTGTGCACCCATCCGCATGATACTCAGGTACTTGCAGCCTCCTGTTGCGTACTGAAATCAATCTGCCCATTGGCCCGTCAACAGCACCGCGCCAATTGACCTGCCGCCGCCGCCCGCCTGGTCCTGCTGTCCGCAGGCGTCCTTACGAGGGTGGCCAGCCTTCCCAAAACTCGTCGGCCGTTATTTGTGCATAAGGACACGACACCTCTGAACAGCTTGGTTTTCAGCGCACATATATCGCCGTGCAGCGAACCTGGATAAGCGAGATGGCAGTGCAGGTTATGCGCTTGTTTCGTGGAGGAGGTGTTCTGATGAGGTCTCAACAACAGTCCCCGCTTGCTGCCATGTGCGGGACGCGGCCTCCAAACAGGTGCGCACGATGTGCAGGAGAGCCGCTGTGCCCTCAACCCGGGTTTCGAGGCCTGGCATGGCATTTTTGATGTTCCTATCACCCATTTGTGTGGTGCAGGCTGCTGTTCGCCCCCGTCATGGCAATCGAAGCAGCAGGCGCGCAGCGGTCACCGCTGCACTTGCTGCGTTCAAGGGCCGGCGATGGGGGTGAGCAGCATCATTGAATATGTATCGAGTATTGTCTGGGTACATATTGTGTGTTCAGTATTGATGGTGCCCAGCATCAAAGATGTGTGGAATGCAGCACAACGGCTCCACTGCTCTTCCAATCCTGGTCGCAGAGGGCGCCCCGCTGAGCGCCAACCAGGCTGCGGAACAGCAGCAGCAGCAGTCGCAGCAGCAACAGGACGAGCAGCAGCGGCAACACCGTCAGCAAAACGGGGAGCAGCAGCACCAGCAGCAGCAAGGGAAGCAGTCGGACAATGAAAACAAGTACTGGCGGTTTTGGGGCCTCAAGATCAGCAAGGAGGACCTGATCACCATCACCTTGGCCCTTGCTATATCATATGGCATCCGCTGGTGCGGCGTGGATGATCTTAGACCACGCACTGCCCCCAGATATCGGGCGGAGGAGCATGTGTGTGTTCCTTGAAGAGCCTTGCCGCACTAAGCCGCAAAGCACCCAGCCGGCGAGCTGCACGTGCGTCCGCCCAAAGCTGCCTCATCGGCAGCCCCAGGGGTGGCATGCTGGTGGCGTGCAGCTCTGCGTGTCTCGGCGTGTGTCTGCACCATGCAAGCCGTGGCTGCGCCTGACGGCTCTCGCACCCGGGGCTTCCTGCCTGCTTGACACCTCGCTTTTGCTTCCCTGGACAAAGGTTGACCCTTGCTTTGACCCGCTGCAATCATCACGTCCACCCTTTCCCAGGTTCATTGCAGAGCCACGATTCATCCCATCCCTGTCCATGTACCCCACGTTTGACGTGGGGGACAGGCTGATTGCCGAGAAGATCACCTACAGATTCATCAGGTGGGGCGGGCAGGGGGGTGGAGCGCCTGGCTCAGTGGGGATGCGGCGCTGCAGAGTTGGGCTTGGGGAGGGGGTTTTGGTAGCTTGGGTGTCGGCGTGGCCACGGCGAGCCTCAAAGCCGGCTGCAAATCTGAATGGGGCCCGAGACAGCACACATCATCACATACACAAGCCAGCACACACCACGCACGTGTGCGTCTGTCAGGCCCCCCATCCCTGGTGATGTCATCATCTTCCATCCCGCGGAGGGGGTGGCCGGCAAGAGCTTCATGGGGGATGACGTGTACATCAAGAGGGTGGTGGCCGTGGAGGGGGACACAGTCGAGGTGGGCACTCGTCCTGTATGTGTTGGGCAAGTGCATGTGCACCACAGTGTGCAGTCAGGCACACACACGTGTGTTGGAGAGCATGGTTGGGTTTTCCGAGCTATGCACGGCTGCGAGTGAGCTGAGCTGAGCCGCACACGAGGTTTGTCAGCGCCGCCGTGCGTTTGCGCAATGAACGCGCTAATTCCAAAGGGCAATCCAGTGGGGGGTGGGAGTCCAGGTTGGGCGTGCGTGTGCTGCTCAATAGGGTGGTGAAGTAATCTGGGGTGATGGGTGCAAGAGAGCGAGATGGGCCCCTGGCATGGAGCTTTTCAGCGACGCCAAGCCAGCAAGGTCATCTGGGGCTTGGCGCGCCGCCCCGGCTGACCCGGCAGCTCCACCGTCCGCCCCACTCTCACAAGGCGGATGGTCCCAATGGTGCACAGCCGACTCCCCCGAACATCGGCTCCTGCCGTTCACATTCCCCCACCCCCACCAGCCACCAATTCACATGCACACCCATACACACACATGCACAAATACCAGGTCAGGGGTGGCACCCCGTATGTCAATGGTTTGCCACGGACCGAGCCATTCATATTCGAGCGGCCTGGGTACACTTTGTCAAGGCTGGTCGTGCCCCAGGGAGATGTGAGCGCCGGCGCGACGCCGGAGTGCGTGCGCGGAGAGAGTAGGGGAGGGGAGGGGCGGGGGGGGGAGGGGG